GAAATTCAAGACCACTGTGCAAATGCCAAAGAACAGTGACAAATTGCTAAAACATCATGCATGTGAGCAGTTCGTATGTACATATGTAGACCCAGAGATAGATTGAACAGTACGAATCACAAGTAAATGCAGTAATGGAGCTCAATGTACCACAAGAATCCAACGAAACAGGAAATCGATTCATAATTGAAGAAAACAAAGAAATAGAATATGACCATGAAAGCAGATCCAATAGCAACAGGATGGACAAATCATAAAAAGCATATTCAAGTTGTGAAGGGCTGAAACTGAAAATTAAGAGAAAACAAACAACTCGCTAGTTGGGTCCAAGGTCGAAGACACCGGTTTGAGGATCGCAGGAGTCAGACGGTGACAACAAGTGGAGCAGGACAGTGAATGCTTCGTCGGAGGAGGTGATCGGAGCAAGTTACAGAGCTTGAAAACTTGAAACAATGGCGGTTTTTTGGAGAGAAACTTTAGAGAGAGAAAGCTTGAGCAAAATCAAAGATGTGAAGTGAAAAGACAGAAAGAGGGAAAGTATTTTTGTTAAAACACGAAAAGGTGGCAAAACCACAATGAATGTGCCTTGGACGACGTGCCTGTTAGGCGGCGGGCACAGAAGTGATGCAACCTGATAGCGTGTGTCAGGTACGAATCAATGAGAGAAGGACGCTTGGCGGAAACGGTTGAGAAAACCGTACGCGACAGCTCATGCGCAGATAAAACTCTTGGAGTTCATGATTTAATGAAGTGAGAACCTCGGCTAGAGGAACGGTCTTTGTTAAGGAACTTGAAGAACTTGGTTCTTGGTCATTGATAAAGTAGACTGCAGAGTCTTGGTCATGTCAAGTCGACGCATGATGATCTCGGTCATGAAGGATAGAGTAAGTCTTAGCCGACGTGCTATATGGACAAACGATATAGCTTCCATCACCTCAGGATGCCGAGGTAACAGAACCTTAGGGGCAGTTGTGGGGACATATTTTGTGAATGACAACACGTGGCCAAGGTGGCATCAGAGTGTCAGCCAAGATGCCACGTGTCTTGGTCATGTTGCCGAGGTGATCGCGCCTAAGCCGAGGTTATCTGCGGAGATACCGGAATTCGAAATGAGCGGACAAGGGAGAATGGGGGAGTACCTTAGTCTGGATAAAGATAAAGCTCTTAGGGAGTTTTATCTCTATCTGGCTGGGAGTCCAGGATGAGCATTAAGCCAGAGTCCATTGAAGCTAGGCTTCTACAGGGATCAAGTTAAGGTACGTTTTTTGTATTCTGACTTGTGAGTTAAGCACTATTTGCTATCTTTGAGAGATAACTGAGTACTGACTTGATCGCCAGAGTGCCCCCGGGTGGACGAACCACCACCAGAGTCTTATCTTTCTGTGACAGGTTGTTCAGGCGTGATCCATTCTGCTTGTGCTCTCCTGCTGAGTTCCTGTTTGGCAGTGTGGTTGGAAATCAGCACCCACAATATGAGATGGAGATGTAAACCTTAGAGATTCAGAGAGTGAGAATCAAAGATAGAGTAAACATTTGTAAAGTCTCAATTATTTACATGGACTAACTTTCTCATTCTATTTGTGTGTTCAAGTTTAACATACCAAAATGAATCGATGTAGGCTTATTAGGTATGGAAAGTGGAATGGATTTGTTCAACATGGATAACTCGGATTAAACTAACACTTGGATGATTGGGAGTTTGGAATCTCACTTAGGCTTCGTTTAGGGAGTGGGTTCACTTTTTAATTTTTTGATTTTTTTAAATATTTTAGTCTGGAGTTAAAAAATTTGGTTTGTGAATGATTTTTGGCTTTTTTGACTTTTTAGCTTTTTTGTGAGAGAAAGAATGTAATGATTATGGGTTGGATATGATGTTTTGTTCTATTGGGTTAAAAACCCAGCTTTGTTTTTTGTGACTATTTTAGCCAAAAAATCCTCAAACCCAACTTCTCAAACATAGGCTAAAAAAAGTCAATTTTTTTTGGGGAAGATTTGATCAAAACTCTCATATAATAAAATTTTAATATATTAAGGACAATCACAAACTAAATTTCTTGAAAAGTCCAACACATTTCATTATTATCAAAATATTAAATTTTAAAATAATATAACTTTTGATGTAAATGTCAGTTTTTAATAAGATTAGTATTTTTAAAATTTTCTCATTAAGATATATCAAATAAGATTCATGTTGACTATGAATTTTTTTTTTTAAAAAAAAGTTATGACCGTTGAAATTGATATAAACCGTAATAGTAACATGTTACTTTATTTGATAGTTGCTCTATTTGACAGTAACATGTTATTTTGATTCACAGTAACATGTTACTCTGACAATATTGTCCAAGGGAAAAAAAATATTTTACTTTGTCCGTACTTAATTATGTGTTTTCTCTTTAGGGGGTTTATGAAGCAAAATAAATTAGGCAGTCATTTTCACTAAACAATGGTCCAATGGAGGGATTTTGGCTAATTTTTTTTTTCCAATTTTTAGAGTCATTTTATTTTGTTTTTAATTTGTGTTAAATTTTTTTATTTTTTTAGATCTATCTAGTATAGGAGTATATTTGTTAAAATTGAAAATCTCAACTTGAGGGTGAAATTGATCCATTTTATTAAACTATATTAGACGCATTTAAGTGATTTAAATCGTTCATCTTATACAACTAAATAACAAACTTATCTATATAAAAATTTAAATTTATCCAATAATGATTGCTGTGCTATTAAATTATTTTTATTTATATGCCTGATATGTTTTTCAAAATAGACCTTTTTGCATATATGTTCTTTTTAATTTTTTAAATAAAATGAGCGGCTTCAAATTATTATGTTAGTATAGATAGTCTTAATAAATGCATGACATCAATTTTAACAAATCCAAACTCCTAATATAAAAGAATCTAAAAAATAATTTATTTTGATTTTTTTAAAAATGAATTAGTAAAAAGAAAGCAAAAATAGTTGTTTTTTTTTCTCCCAACTTTTCAAAATTTTGTCCTTTTTTCTGGTTTAGCAGAATTTAGAAGTGTAATTTCCTTTGAAGCTGGTGAACTGTGCTGCGATTGACTGTTGCGTGCCAGTGTTGGCAGATTAGTGTTTCGTTCGGGTTCTTTATATTGGTTGTAGAAATGGGGTTAGGGTTTTTCCATTGAGACCACTCGTGAAAAGCCAATTTGAGATCGGTCGGCGCGAGAATAAGAATTTGAATAATGGATTGGACAATGATGAATTGGAAGGTCAAATATTGGATTGATTCAGAAAATCGATGGAACTAATGTTTCGTATCTCGGTTTAGTAATTCACTGTAACTATGGAGCTGATGCTGAAAGAGACTCTGGAGATTTGGTTACTTGGAATGAAATATTGACAAGCATTGTGATTCTGGTAAGCACTTATTGTTTGTGTAATTTCTTGAGAAGACTATAGTTATCATTGATATGTTTTAGGTGATTGGTGTCATATGAAAATGAAAATAAGAATTTGATGCATTTGTGACAAGTTAGAAGTGGTACCAACTCAAATAGAATAGGCAAAAGCTACTGAAAATGATATTGCAATGTGCAATGGAGACCATGGCTATCAGAATCGTGATTTGGATCTTACAATTCTGTGACCCCAGCTGGGCCAAAATGATCTGGATTGCGATATGATTTTAAAACTATGTCACATATTTATCATTACTATAATTTTTCATTTCTTTTGCATTGAAAGTAGAATCTTATGATCAAGGGCGGAGGTAGTGTATGCCTAGGGGGGCACGTGCCCTCCTCAAGTTTTGATAATTGTATTGGTACCCTTATATATAAAGATTATATCATATATATCTTCTATAAAATTATAATAATATCCCTTCTTCAAATTATAATAGTCCCTCTATTATAAATTTTCTTTCTAATTACAATGAACCTACTAAAATGAGTCCTTCCATTATATACCTCCAAAAGGGGTGTACCATATACTAGTTATTACTTTATGATATTGATATTATAAATTTTCATAACCAAATTATTTTCATTCATAACTAAATTGACTACTATATAAATTATACCCAAACAACACATCTTCAATTATAGCAAAAAAAAAAAAAATTATAGTAAGTAATAACCAAGGTTCTGAAAAGCGGTTGCGGTCGCCGTAACGGTAGCGGCGACGCGGTTGCGGTTGCAGGGTGTAAAGGCCGTAGCATAACAGTTGCGGTTACCGGAACTGTGAATTTTTTTTATTTTTTGCACAATTTGTAAAAAACTTACCAATACACATATTTTTTTTTAGAATCATATTTATTGGGTTTTAAAATAAATTTTGATAAATTTTTCGTAATTTTTAAGTATGATCCAATATATTTCACATTTTTAAATCACTAGAAAATATTTTTTTTACATTTTATTTCAATAATTAATGACTTTATACGTCATAAATCCATATTCCACTTGTAACAAAATTTTCTTTTATTGGACTTAGATGTATAAAATTATTTTTAATTATTATACTTGTGGAGGCATATGTACATTTTAACTCAAATAGTTTTAAAAAAGTATACATCCTTAATGGAAGAACTTGACAAAGTACATAACATCATAGCATAAATCACAAATAACAGAGAGTACATTTTACATAATGTTACTACTAAAATTACATAATGTCACCACCAAAATGAGTGACGTGGTGCAACTTGGGATTCAGATTGTTGAGCTTGATTGTTGCTGCTACCTTTACCCCACCAAAATGAGTGACGCGGTGCATCTTGGGAATCAGATTGTTGAGCTTGATTGCTACTACCTTCACCCCATCTAGTAGGAAATATATAAGTAAATGTGCTCACACTACAAGAAAAGTGGGTTCATGAGACGGAACTATTTGCGACGGCACACTTGCCGTCTCAAAAAGTCACTTTTTGCGACGGTAGAAAATGCCGTCTCAAAAAAACAGAGTATTTGCGACGGCACCATTTGCCGTCTCAAAAAAGCAGAGCATTTGTAACGGCACCATTTGCCGTCTCAAAAAATGAGAGCATTTGCGATGGTATTTTCTGACCTCCTAGGTAGTTGGGGTAAAGGTGCAACAGGTTCTCCAATATCATAATGTTCCCCAACATCACATAATCCAAATCCTCCAATAAAATTTTCACTTCCTGCACCAAAACTAGTACCATCACCGCCATCACCACCATTGTCACCGCCACCACCACCACCATCACCGTGAGAAGTGCCTTCACCATCACCATCATCACCTCCTCCATCAGATGGTGTTAAACCACCACTATTATCACTTTGAGTTGGAGCAGGAGTTGAGCTTTGAGAAGTGCGTCGAGCTTGATATCTATGGGTGCCACCACCATTGTTTCCATCGCTGCCATTGCCGCCATCGCCATTGCTGTCATTGCCACCACCACCACCATCATCTGAGACCAAATCTAGCCATTCAGAATTATCCACACCATCTAGTAAAAGATTTTCCCTTTCTTCTATCCATGGACTTATTGGATCATCTTCTTCAAATATGTAATCCAAGTTAATAGGATTAAAACTCCTATCAATCTCCTCTTGGCTGCTTCTTTTAACGTGTCTCAATTTTAATCTCATGTTGTAGGTGATGAAAACTAATCTTTGAATTTTCTTATATTTCAATCTATTCCTCGTCTTCGTATGGTTGAGACTAAAAGTACTCCAATTACGTTCACAGTGAGATGATGTGGTGGTTTGACTTAATACTTTCACAGCTATTTTTTGAAGTTCAGGAGCACAACTGCCATGAATAATCCACCACTCAACTGCACAAAATTGCATTACATTAGACAGAAGTCAAAATATGATAAAAAAATTATTTAAGTATTTATATATTATAAATTTGTAATTTTGAAAATAAAACCTGGATTTGATTGTTTCCATGCTCTTTGTACTAAAGGAGTACCAAAAGTTTCCTGTTTATCTCGAAACAGCAACAACTACAATTTGGACAATCATTACAAGTAACATTTGCAAAAGTAGATTATTACTATTAAAATTTAAATAATTGGTACGTACTTGATTTGTTGCTTTCACTTGAGCATCCATATTAGGCTCCAGTCTGGTAATTACTTTTTTAAGTCCATCCATCACTTCTCTTATCATTTCATTGGATGAGATAACACCATATTGGAATTGAGGATTTAAAAAATATCCTTCAAAAATAAGAAGACAATTAATAATTGTAAATAAATATACATTTTATAATTGAAATCGTAACACTTACTAGCCGCATGCAAATCTTGATGCAATTGAAAAGACCATCGAGTTTCAATAATTTTCCAATACTCGGTGTAGTAGCGACAATCTCTTTTAATTGCCAACTTTGCTCTATCTATAGCTTCATATATAAAACTCATTGTTGGCTTCTCATCCCCATCAACCAACCTCAATACTCTGACTAGGGGCTCATGAACTTTGCAAAGCTCTGTTGCTTTCTGCCAAAACTCCTTTCCCAAAATAATTTTTTCACATTGTAAGGCTGCCCAGTCTTTGCCTTCCCCCATCTAGAATTCTTCCACTAATCACTATTAAACATAGCTCTCAATTGTTGTTTATATCTAACAATACTCTCAATGGCAATAAAATTTGTAGCAAATCAAGTGATGGCAGGTCAAATCAATTCTCTACCTCCAGTGAATTTTCTCATTAAATCCAACACCCATCCACTATTATAAATGAAATTGGTGATGGTTTTACCATCTTCAATCACCTTTGCTACACTTTTCTTATTGGCTATGTCTTTTAGCATGAGATCGATACAATGTGCTGAACAAGCTGTCCAATATAAATGTTTCCTTTTTCTCATTAACATTTTACCGGCAGCTTTCAGTGCAGGTTCATTATCAGTTACCACTTGAACAATGTATTATTCTCCAAACAACTTTATCTAACAACCCAAAATAATATTCATCAGTCCTACTAATAATATTAGAGGCATCAATTGATTTGTGAAATATAGTACCTCTATTGCAGTACACTAAGAAGTTGATGATGTGTTGCCGAGTTAGACTGTTCCAACCATCACACATGATGGATACACCTCTCTCTGCCCAAATTCCCTTGAATGATCCTATCCATTCTGTCATTTCATCATGCTCCATGCCCAAATATACTTCAGAAACTTCATAAGCACTAGGACCTTTTACTCCTGGCCCTACTTCAGCAGCAACATCAAGCATGGGTTGTGTATACTCTGAATCAACTGCATTGAATGGAATACGATTATAGAGTATAAACTTGGACACTGCCCGTCCCAATCTCTTTTTTAACTTCTGTAAATTCATTGTAGAGATTTTTCGCTGCTTTGTACTCTTGCTCTTTTGGAGTTCTACATCCATTTCCCTCAACCTTGCTTCAGGAGCATTAGGCTTAATCCAATTACGTCCACTCCCACCAGTTTCACGCACAAATTGTGATCGACGAAAAACATTAGCAATACCAGACCCTTTTGGCATTTTTTGAGCACTACCCCTTGCACTAGAACTACCACCTGCATCGTATTGTGATCCATGACCTGCAACACCTCGTCTAAATTGTTGCATTTCCTCCCATTGTCGTTGTGAACGAATACTTGCTTGTCTAGCCCTGGTCATCTCTGGATCAGAGTCAGAGTCATCATCTCGAAGATCTACACAATCTCCTCCTTCATTTTCATCATAGAGATCATCTCCCCTAATATGTGCTTCCAATTCAGCTTTTCTCTTTTACTTGTCTGCTTTACTCATTTTCTTATTTTGTAAATGTTTCATCATTTCTTGCATCACGTCTCTACTAACATTAAGACAAGAATGCACTTGTCCTGTTTGATGTGCTAAATGTTGTTTGAAACGCGTAACCCCACCTTTAATGTGATGTCCACAAAATTTACAAATAATATGATGCCTAGTGCCTTCAACTTGAGTTCTAAATTTCCAACCAATATCATCACTTGGGGGTTCATCATTAGCACCCTTTTGTCGTGGCATTTTTGAATTTGAATTTAAATTCTGCATCATTGATACATATTTTAAATTTATTTTTAAATGGAATGATTGTAAAAAAATATTTAAAATTAAATACTAAATAAAATAATTATAAAAAAATGCAACCACTATTTATACATTTGGATTTTACATGCCAATGTAATCATATAAAAATTAAAAAATAAATTATAAAAATATTTTTAAAAAAAGAAAAATTTGCCATAAAAATTGTTGTCACAACAAATTTTGTCATTAAAAAAATAAAAATTTGTTGTCACAACACATTACAATAACAAAATAAAAAAAAATATTTATAATTAAATGTTAAATGAAATGATTATAAAAAAAATTCAACCACTATTTATACATTTGGATTTTACATGCTAATGTAATTAGGAATAAAGACATTTTTCATGGCATTGATTGAGCTATTGTTTTTATTTTTATTTTTAATGTGTATGAGGGGGTGCTCATAGCTGACCTTCCCCGATCGTACCCAAGCTCCCGAGCCGAGACAACTCCGGTGATGACGGACATGTGGCCTTCGGCACCGAGTCAGGGTTTCCTAAATTTTCCCATTTTAAAATATTTAGGTGGCGACTCTGTATCTGGCAAAGCAGTCCATGTTTGGCACTACTTTTTCAAAAATCTGTTTCTCAAAACGATTTGCCAGATTTGGACTCTTTGGTTCAGATTAAGAACCGCGACACAAGTCGCGAGTCCGAACTGTAGCATGAGGCCCACGGGCGCGTCTACATAATCATATAAAAATTAAAAAATGAATTATAAATAATTTTTTTTTGAGGTATTGATTTTTAAAAAAAAAAAGACATTTAAAAAAAAAAAAAAAATTATGCCTTTAACAGTGTTGTAATAACAAAATAAAAAATATTTATAATTAAATATTAAATGAAATGATTATAAAAAAAAAAAAATTTTTCCCAATCACTAATTATTATATATAAAATACTAAAATAAATGCATAGCTCTCTCTCTCTCTCTCTCTCTCTATATATAAATATAAAAACCTGAGCAGCAAGTCAGATGAAGAAAATGGATTACGAAATCAAATATGATTAAAATTGAATGAACACTCATTAACCAAAATCATTTAAATCATTTAAATAAAACTTTAATTGTAATACAGAAAATAACTTACAATTACAATTGTAGCAACTGCAAGGATCTTATTTGGGTTACAAATAGGGTGATTGATTCCCACTCAAAACACTCTGGTTTTTTTTACCACACTGGAAGGAAAGAAAATTGAAGAATGCCTGAATGACTACAATTGATTACAATATATAGAAAAGAAAAGTAAAACAGCATGTGACTAATGAAGGCAGTTGGCAGCACATGAGGCAAAACAGATGCTGTCGGTTGCTTTCGGTGGAGTGATTGCACAGGTGAGTAGCTTTAACAATAGTTGATTGAGTGAATAGTGACAGTGAACAATAAAAGTGAACAGTAACTTTTACTATTCATCACTTTCGGTGGAACATGTGAATAAAGGAATCAATATAAATACAAATTGGCAGTTTTTCTCAAAAGAGTATTGACTGAAGCTAATTTGTATTTATAGGGAATCCTATGTTGATCAAGCATGGATCCTGAGCATCTTGGAACTCAGATCTTCCATATGAGATGGGTTGAGTAGTTGAACCTTCAGAAGATTGTGACTATTCTGAACTGTCTTCTGAATTTTCTGAACTGGTTGACTGGGCTTTGCCTTGATCCATAATTTGCTGGACTAGCTGGAGCACTTCATCTTTGGATAATTTGGACTTGCTTTTGGATTTGACTTTGGGCTGAGCAGGAGGTGAAATGGGCTTTGACTGAGCTTTGGACTTGGATTTTGATTTGGGCTTTGATTGAGTCTTGGGCTGAGCCGGTATTGCAGGAGCTTTGGACTTAGCCTTGGACTTTGATTTATCAATTGTGGGCTGAATCTTGGACTTGGATGTGTTGGGCTTGGAACCACTAGATGAGGGGCTTCCAAGGTTGATTGGAGTAAGACTGGGCTGACTTCCTTGGCTGATTGCAGAGGTTGGATTCTGCTGAGCTTTAGCAATGGCAGGGGTAGGAGCACATTGATCAATAGGAAATTCTTCTTGAACAATTTCAAATATGCGATGCACATTGAATTTAGCCCACCATTTGACTGAGTGTTGACGAATGATTATTTTATCATCAATTCCATAATGCCATTTAAATATCCAAGGGATTTTATATTTGGATATAAAAATTATCAAGGATGGAAATGATCGCTGATGAGCAGTGAATGGGTAAACAGAAGCAAAATAGTTAATTAGTTCAATAAGATCACCAGGGAGAATATCTGAAATGGCACCATAATGAGTCCACCATCGCAGAAACCAAAAAGGTAATTCAGACTTGAATTTTTGATCAAAAGAAATGAACCAAGAGTGACTGAAAGTTTCATTTTGGTACAAGAAGATCTTGAACCAAGCATCAATGTAATCATGGTAATTGTATTGAATAGAGTGACCAGGTAAATCACGAAACTGATAAGGAAGACCCGATTCAGCTAAGGAAACAATGTTGTGAATGTAAATAGAATGATACAGAACCTTGCTAGCGTAGGTTCGATCATAAATGGGGTTTGATTAAAACTGATTGGTGATGGATCAGAATATCCTTGTAATAGGTGAGTGTTTTCTCTGGATGTGAAATGATGAAATGGCATCCAGAGCCAAAATAGGATTTAGCAATTTCATGGATAACTTGACCTTTGGGATGACTAGGTTCTTTATAGAACAGGTTAGTAGTGTGTGATTTGGTATAATCAGATTGAGATGACCTGACTGGGTTAGCAGGGAATGGAGTAACTAAGATTGCTTGGCTGGAAGGAACAAAAAGGTCTGAGGCCAAGGCAGATGAGTAATTGGGTCGATAAATGTTACCACGAACTTGGTAGCGGTTAACCATTTCAAGAGGGTAAGATTGGGCTATTGACTCAAAAGGAGGAGGAACAAGAAGTTGATTAGGTTTACTAGAAGATGGGACCAAAGCCTTGGAAGGAGGCCTTGGGCGAGACATCTGTTGAACAAGAAACAATGATTAGCAACTAGAAAGAAGATCTAAATAATTCTGGTAATAGTTCAAATAGTTAATGTAATCAGCAAGTAAATTGTGACGAGCTTGAATCTGGTGGTAAATGATGTATTGGGCTCTTTTAGTAGTTTTTCTGGCTGATTTGAGACGGTGAATACGGTAGGATAACTGTTTAATCAGGGTTTGGAAATGGGTAATTTGGGTTTTAAGGTATGGAATATGCAGAGTAGCACTCATCCCTTACCCCCCTGTAAAAATTCCTGGGTAAGAAAATCAGGAAGGGAATTTTGACAACCAGTTATGTAGGTAATATCAAAATCAAAAATACTTAAGATAGATTGCCAACGGGCAAAAATTTGTTTACTAGCAAGATTTTGAACATCTTTTTCTAAAACATATTTAGCAGATTTGCAATCAACACGAAGTAAAATTTTTTGATTTAAAATATCATCTTAAAATTTTTGAAT